CTGTTAATAAATGTCTACAAAAATAAGTAAAAGCACTGTCCTGTGATTTTTCACAATCACCATGCATATAAGGAATATCTACACATTTACATGTAGCTATTGTGTGTCTTGTACATATTTAAACATGACTGCCTGTTAGCAATACCATTTTTTAAGGTCATTTTTTCTATGAAGTTAAAAATGAACCTGAATTTTATTGACAAGTTCCCTTGCCTATAGAATCATTATTTATGACAATCTTTTTTTGCAATTTGAGCAGTCTTTGAAGTATCTTTCTGACTTTAATGTTATCTTCAAAGTGTCAGGGGTAAAATAAAAAGATCACATTAAATGATTTTCCATAGGAGATTGTAATTTTCATAGATTAGAAAGTATTTAGATGTTAAAAATGAAATAATTTATTTAGACATAATAGCTAAATCCAATTAAACATCATTATTTTAGACACTACTAGTTCAGAAAAGGTTATATATGAAGTAGAAATAGAAATTTCTACTATTGCTCAAGGAAAAAAGAATTTGATAATCAAATTAATAATGTATAAGAAAGTGGGAATGTCAAGCTAATTAAGAAAAATGGTTTCAAACTTTTAATGGCATCCTTTTTTCCATTGATTATGAATAGTCTGTTGATAATGAAAATTTGTCATCTACTTGGATAATAAAGGCACAGATAACCTTCATTATCTATAGCATACTAGTCTATGATTAAAAGGATAAAGCTACATTTGTTAAAAACTAATCTTCTGCTTGAATTTTTTAATAATTTAGATCACTTTTTCTTGTTTTATTTTCTTGCTCTTTGCTTTCTAATTGTGCCTCCCTGTCTGCAGTTTATAGATATTTTCACCAGCTCTTGCCCCCCTATCCATCTTCCAATCCCACTTCATTTGACCTTTTGTTCTCTTTAGATCCCACTATTTCATTGTTCTGCTTTCTGCCCCCCACTTGCCAATGTTATAAGATTTAGGTTCTTGCTCTCCATTCTCTTTTTCTTTGTTTGGTTCTCAACCACTGTTTCTAGGTTTGGTTTCTTTTTTTTATTATTAATTCATTTTTGTTACAGATGTTTCTCCTTTGTCCTTCATTGACACCCTCCTGCCCATCCCCCTCCCAACCCATCCCCAGCTTTGTTGTGCATGTCCATGGGTTATACATACATGCATATAAGTTGTGTGGTTTATTCCTTCCCTCCCTCCCCCACCCACTTTGGTGTCTTGATTTTCATATTATTCCTGTTCTGTAACTGGTAAGATCAAACTGCAAGGATATAAGGATAATTAGAAAATAGAGGCATAGAGAGAATTGACATGTATTGAATACCTACTCCATGCTAGGTGATTTACTTTCATCATTTACTTCTCATAAGATTTAAGTATGTTTTATTATTATCTCCATTTTACTTATAAGTACACTGAAGCTCAGAAAGGTTAAACATTTTGTTCTAATGCACAGAACAACTAAGTGATAAAGACAAGTTTCAAACCTGTATTGGTTCACTTATTTATTAATTCTTTTATTCAACAAAAATTTGTTGAGTACACATACTATATGCTGGGTATTGTGCTAGATGCTATAATACTTCCAGCCCTTATTTTCATGGACCTTTATTATGTAGTGGCATTGTCTGACCTCACAGTTGGTGATCTTACTGCTATACCAAACAGCGTAAGAGGAAAAATAAAACAGTACATAGAAGGTTCTAATGTTTCATGGAATATCAGATATATTGACATAGATGTAAGAAAGACCGTATCTATGCATTATTTAGGGATACACTATTGAAAAGGTATCTAGTCCTAGAAAGACAATCTCCCCATTGGTACTCTCAGCACCAATGCCTTTTATTTTTTTATTTTTTTATCCTCACCTGAGGATATTTTTCCATTTTTTGTACAGATAGAGTGGGAGGGAGAGAGAGGAAGGGAGAGAGAGAGAGAAACATCGATGTGAAGGGACACATCGAGTGGCTGCCACCCGCACGACCAACCAGGGCTGGGGACAAACTGCAACCGAAGTACGTGCCCTTAGCGGGAACCGAACCCGGGTCTCTCCAGACCGCAGGCCGATGCTCTAACCGCTGAGCCAAACTGGCCAGGGCACCAATGCCTTTTAATGACATCACTGCAATAGATATTTTTTCCTTTTTGTTCCAAAATATACAAGATTTGTGTCTATAAGCCCAAATTCTCTAGAAAGTCTTCAGAAAGAATTAACTGTCCTCCCTAAATTACATTTGGAAAAAGATGAATGAAGACCTCTGTGTAAAGAATTCATACATTCATTAATCCATCCATCATCCATATATTTATTAATATCCTAAAGGAATTAAGATGAACACATAAAACACAACTTTTAATAAGATAAATATGGAAAGAGAGGGCAAAGAACAATAAGCTGAAATTAGTTTGTATCCAGGAAGCATACTAAAAAGGTATCCACAAATTTGTCTCTGTTCTCAAGGGTAACTTGATTCACAAGCATCATAATTTGAAAACAAACTGGTATCAAAGATAAGAACCCATTCCTTATTGTGACACTTAAGAGGAAATTTCTCCTATAGATTCTCTTGAAGAGGACCACAGTACAATGTGGTGAACACTGGCTTCAAATACTTTCTGATATAAATATGAGTTTCACTGAGCCATTTTATTGGCTTCAGTTGCATGCCACAAAAGCAAAATCATGTAAAACAGTTCTTTGAAAAGTGAAATGAGGTATTTCAGGTAGATCACTGTCGTTTTAAATTCATTTATATATTTTAAAGTATCTGGAAATTTTAATGAATTATATCCCTTTTAGGTAATTCTCAAATATAATTTGTCAATTGAGTTTTTTTATGTATTAGGTGACAATGAGTTTACACATTTTTATACATTTGTTTTCATTAATGCAACATCAGTGCATAGAATCCTACCTAGTACATAGTAGGTGCTTAATAACTAATGTAGAGATGAATAAATGTTTTGCTTTAAAGAATTTGTTTAAAGGAAAGACTTTCTCTCAGCTATATGTTGATATTTTCTTTCCTTATCTTTGAATAAACCTATGCTACTACTTTGGAGTACATCATTATAACATGGAACTAGTGTTTCTTCTCAAGAGACCTCAAGATAGATTGAATTTGGAAAACAAGGGATAGATTATGATAATGTCAGCTTGACAGTTTTTAGCTATATATGTAAATGAAAGTAGTTAACTTCCAAATTTAGGAATTTCCTTTTCTCCTGTCTGCTGGCCCTCTGTTTCTAAAGCACAATTTTTTGAAAATAATTTTGGTAATTTTAGTTTTTCTTTAAAATCTCTGCCATTGTATCCTTGGCCGGTTTGACTCAGCAGTTAGAACTTTGGCCCAGGGACCAATGAGTCACATATTCAATCCTGGTCAAGGGCATGTACCTCAGTTGTAGTTCAGTCCCTGGCCCTGGTTGGGGTCGTGAGGGAGGCAGCCAATCAATGTGTCTCTTCACATCAATCTTTCTCTCACATCAATGTTTCTCTCTTTCTCTCCTTTATACTTTTTCTGAAAAAGATCAATGGAAAAATATTTTCGGGTGAGGATTTAAAAAATGAATAGATAAATAAAAATAAAATTTCTGCCATGTATAAAGTATTGAATTATGCTGGGATTCAGTAGATCAGTAGATTACATCAATTCTAGTAGTCCTTTATTCTCTGTGGTTATAAGGGGTTACCTAACTAACTTATATACATCTTAAACGTTTTTTTAATAACATCAGCTGGTATCTAACACATACTTGATGCATATTGACTGCTTTGCCTAGTCCTTAACCTAAATATTTTTCAGAGCCACAATCTTATTTAGGAATATCTCTCTAATTCTAATGAAATATTGAAATATCGAGCATTCCCTGTATTACTGCATAATCTACTTTTTATTTTATTTGCATTTTTTCTTATTTATTGGAACACTTTGTTTTGCAAATTTTATTTTTGTATTGCCCCCAACTATTGTAATCTGCTATGTTTTAGAAACAGAGGATTAGCAATTGATTAAATTATATATTTTACTCCCATGTTTTATCTGTACCATCACAGAATAGTATATATCTATTTTGATTCACCTTTAGAAAATGAAATTTTTCTGTCTCCTTCATTAGCTTATTTCAGGTTTAAACACACTTGTCTTAAAATTGCCCTATCTTTAAACTTCTGTTATATGATTAAAGCTTATCACTTTATTATTTTTAAAGATAATTAATTTATATTGAAGATATGGAATCTAGAGATTTTTTTTTTACCCAATACATGGGAAAAGTTGACTGGTGACTTCTTAAGTTTCTTTTTTTTTAATCCTCACCTGAGAATATTTTTCCATTGATAGAGTGAAAGGGAGGGAGAGAGGAAAAAAAAAAACATTGTTGTGAGAGAGACACATTGATTGGTTGCCTCCTGCACAAGCCCAACCAGGCCTTGGGATCAAACCCACAACTGAGGTACATACCCTTGACCAGGAATCAAACCCAGGACTCTTCAGTCCGCAGGCGATGCTCCATCACTGAGCTAAACCGGCCAGGCTTGAGTTCCTTTAAATTATATCATAAAATTATAGAGCTAGGAGAGATACAAAATAATTTCAGGTTTTTAGAGACTAATTATTTCAAGAGTAATAGACAAAAATAAAATTACTCAGATTTCTTATCCTATGAAATTCTATTGAGCCTTGATAGCAATCTGAGAGTTTCTTTTAAAATTTAGGTTATTAGGTGAGATGAAACTTTTATCAAACACTGAGTTGTAAGGGATAAGAAAGGCCTGTTTACTAATATAAAAGTTCTCCTGATGTCCTGGTCCTCAGCTTTTATTCAGTAGACCCAGAGAACTGAGTCTTGATGCCTTTTTAAAAAAAATGTTTGGGGAACTACAAAGTATGGTTTAGAGAAAGCATGGTTTATAATTATTTTGAAGTTAATTTTAGTACTCTACATTCCTTCTTTTTGGCTAATTTCACTCAGTCTGCTATTTAATCTTTAATTACAGGCCACAAAAGAAGTAATAGAACGGGAAGCGCCAGGCATGGCCCTGGCAATGCTGATGGGATCACTTAATGTTACACCTCTGGGCATGCTCTCTAGGTAAGAAAGTCACCAACATGTTGCAAAGAAAATTAATTCCATACTACTAGTCAGTACAAGTTTCTTGATAAATCCAAGAAACTTGAGTTGTAACATTTAAGTTTGTCCCGTTTGTTTCCTAGAATTAAAAGTCTTAGTATCCTGTCCAGTCAAATCTGGGCCATTAGTTTCTTTTAGAAGTTTTAGAAAATATTGTATTACTGCTAAAAGTTGTCAATCCTAACACAGAGGAGAGTCCAGTTTACTAAGATGTAAAATTACTATTTTTTGTGCGACTATATACCATCATTAATTAATATTAATTGTCATTAAATACTAATTTAATAAAACTAAACAGTAGAGTTTTTAAAAATAAGTTGTGTTCACAAATTAGGAACTTTTATTCCAACTTGTAATTAGATATACTGATGTGCGGTCATGAAAGAAAGCTCAATTAATAGTATATTATTGTTATATTAAATTAGTATATTTAACACTACGCATTTGTTGGCATAGACATTGACATCCATCCTCAATCTGATGATTTAGTTATTTATTTATTGTTAAAATCCCCTTTAATGAGGACATGTCCTTTAAGTTAAAGACAGAAGTATAATCTAGAATCTGTTGACTTAATGACTTGATTAAATAGACAGTTGATCTCAAAGCAACCTAAAAATACACAGCAACTTTATAAGTTAAGCATTTCACAATTATTATTTATAGCCATTAATTTATGCTGTGTAATGTAAATATATGCATTTAATGAGTGGAATATGAGTTATAATACCCTCTCTGTTACTTGAACTAAGTTTATATCCCATTAATGGAAGCCACTGGATGCATAACTAAAAGGAAATGTGAATGGGTCATTAGATACTCTATCCCCTTTGCTATCACATGTACTATTTGTAACATTTTATTTTAATAAGAGCAAAAATAAAGTAGAATGATAAAAATTTTAAATTTAAAAGCCGATGCTGATCTTTAAGGAACTTACATTGATTCTTTTATTGTGTGGGTTTTTTTTTTTTATATTATCTATATTATATTATCTATACTTACTTATATTATCTATACATGAGGTCGAGGGTCACATTTGATCCCTTTTCTCTATGGAATTAGGTGTAGTAATCTTTGACCATAAAATAACTCTTTCTTTGCATACAAGGAATATAGTTAAGAAAGAATTAAACTTCATCTCTTGTTAATTATTTTATAATAAAAATTCTAATATAGCAAGTATAGTAATACTCTATTTGCCAGGCCCCATCTTAACCATTAGGAGTACTAAGGATAGAAAAAGAAATAAGATCTGGTCCTCACCTGAAGGATCCCACAGTTAACCTGGATAATTTGTTCTTTGCAACTGTTAAGGTAACTCTTTAAATTGGATGGATATAGCTTTCTTGATCCAGTATAGAAATAATTACTTTTTGTCTTATTGAAAGATTTTTCAGGGTTCATTCCTTTTCCACCTTTTGAACCCACATAATTACTGAACACTGGGCTGCTGAGTAAGTGAAAAATTAATCTGCAGGAGCTGATTCTAAATACTTGTGTAAGCTTATCATCTTTATGCTGAAGGCTTTCAAAATTAAAAATATACACAGCAGGGTAACAGATTCTTCGGACTTTTCTTTCTGTTCATGACTTAACTATGAATTTTCACAGATTTGAAACAGATATTAGTGTACATGGGTTATGGAAAAGGGAATTGTAACATATTTCCATGACTGCTCTTTTTTTGTGTGCTTTTTTTTTTTTAATTCCTGTTTTTAAAACAGCCATGATTAGGTTGATGCTTCCTTTTGATAGCAGTTTTACTTTGTATGTACTTTGGGTTTCATTAAATGCTTCTATTATAACACATGCTACATTGTAATTATTTACTTACTTGTTTGTATTACCTAATTTGTATAAAATCCTTAAGGACAGGAGCTTGATCTCATTCAATTTTATATCCTCAGCCCTAAAACAACTTTTGACCCATAGTAAGTACTGAGAAAATGTTTATTGTTAAGGTTACTATTGATGAATCAGTATTTCATCTTAGTTCTAATAGAATGTTTTTCAAGGTAATCTATCAAGTTTGTGTCTTATATTCCTGTTTTTATCTCTAGAGAGCAGAATTAAATAAAAGATTCCTTTTAAAATCACCAAATCTGTTTCAAATAGTTTTTATCTACTTAATTATTTAATATTCTACAGGCTTTCTGTACAAGTACGTTGAAAGATAGTATCCAATAATGGTTAACATCACTTCTGAAGGCAGTTGGCTGGCTTGGTTCTATTCTGGCTCTACTACTTAGTAGCTACTTAACATTTGTTTTGTTTTCTTATCTGTATAATGAGAATGGCAATAGTACCAATCTTCTTGGATTAAGTGAGTGAGTGTAAAGTGCTTAGAACAACAACTGATTTGTTGTGTTTTTATTGGTTGGGTGTTCTAGTTCTTAAACAAATCTGCTGGAAACATCTTCTATCTTTTCTTCATCTGAAAATGCTTTTATCTTATCTTCATTCCTGAAGGATATTGCCACTAGGTAAAGAATTCTTGATTGACAGTTCTTTACTTTCAGTGCATAAAAAAAAAAGTTATTCCACTTTTTTCTGGCTCCATGATTTCTACCATAACTTAAGTGGTTCAGAGAAAACAATGCTAATAAAAGTCTCAAAACAACTGCCTGACATTACAGCTTAGGAACTAGAGAAAGAAGAACTAATGAAACCCAAAGCTAGAAGAAGGAAGAAAATAATAAAGATTAAGGCAGAAATAAATAAAATGGAAAAAGCAATACAGAAAAAAATTAACTAAATCAAATATTTGTTCTTTAAAAAGATCAACAAAACTGACAAACTTTGCTATATTGACTAAGAAAAAAAAAGCCACATAACTCAAACTACTAAACTCAGAAATGGAAGTGGAAGTATTACTACCATTTCTATGGAAATAAAAATGGCTATAAGAGAGTACTAGGAACAATATTCCAATAAATTGGATAACCTTGATGAAATGGACAAATTCCTACAAACACAAAGCCTAGTAGATTGGATCACAAAGGAATAGAAAATCCAAATAGATCTATAGCTAGTATGGAGATTTAGTCAGTAATCAAAAACCTACCTACAGCCCTGGCCAGTTTGGCTCAGCGGTTAGAGCATCAGCCTGCGGTCCGGAGAGACCCAGGTTCGGTTCCCGCTAAGGGCACGTACTTCGGTTGCAGTTTGTCCTCGGCCCTGGATGGTCGTGCGGGTGGCAGCCACTCGATGTGCCCCTTCACGTCGATGTTTCTCTCTCTCTCTTTCTTCCTCTCTCTCCCTCCCACTCTATCTGTACAAAAAATGGAAAAATATCCTCGGGTGAGGATTAAAAAAAAACAAAAAAACAAAACCTACCTACAAATGAAATGCCTCTGTCAAATGGCTTCACTAAATAATTCTACCAAACACTTAAAATATGGACACCAGTTCTTCTCCAGCTCTTCCCAAAAATTGAAGAGAAGGGAAGACTTCCTAACTAATTCTAAGAGGCCAACACTACACCGATACCAAAGAAAGGCGAAAAACTACTGATCAATATTCCTTATGAACATTGATGCAAAAATATTCAACAATATACTAGCAAACTGAATTCAGCAGCATATTAAAATAATTATGCACTATGACCAAGTGGGATTTATCCCTAGAATGCAAGGATAGTTCAGCATACAAAAAAGCAATCAATGTAATATACCACAGTAACAAAATAAAGGATAAAAAAACACTCGATCATCTCAGTTATTACAGAAAAATTATTTCACGAAATTCAGCATGCATTCATGTTAGTGGCACATAATAACTTGAAATAAAGGAAACTACCTTAACATAATAAAGGCCATATATTAAAAAACACAGAGCTGATATCATACTCAGGGGTGAAAGATTGAATGCTCTTCCTCTACAGTAGGAATAAGACCAGTACTATTGGACCTGGCCCGTGTTGCTCAGTGGTTGAGCATCGACCCATGCACCAACAAGTCACCAGTTTGATTCCCAGTCAGGGCACATGCCCAGGTTCTGGGCCAGATCCTCAGTGAGGGGCATGCCAGGAGGTAGCCAATCGATGTTCTCTCTCATCAATGTTTCTTCCTCTTTCTCTAAAATCAATAAAGAAAAAAAAGTGCTATTGGAAGTTATAGCCAGAGCATTAGATAAAATCAAGAAATAAATAAAAGGTATCCAAACTAGGAAGGAAGAAGTGAATATGTTTTTGTTTGATATGTCGAAACCCTAAAGATTTTACACACACACACACACACACACACACACTATTAGCACTAATAATTATATTCAGCAAAAGTGAAGATAATCAACATTCAAAAAGCAGTTGTGTTTCTATACATTAACAATGAACACTGCAAAAGGAAATTATAAAAGCAATTCCATTAACAGCAGTAAAAATGATAAAATTCTTAATCATAACATGATCAAGGAGGTGAAAGACTTATATACTGAAAACTATAAAATATTGCTGAAAGAAATTAAAGACCTAATTAAATGGAAATACACCCCAGGTTAATTGATTGGAAGACTTAACATTGTCAAAATGTCATTAGTACTCAAAGCAGTCTACAGATTTAATGCAATCCTATCAAAATACAGCAACATCCTTTTGTAGAAATAGAAAAATCTATTCTAAAATTTATATAAAATCTGAAGGAACCCCAAATAGCCAAAAGAAAAAACAATAAAGTGGGAGGATTCTCACTCCCTGATGTCAAACTTATTAAAAAGCTACCATAATTAAAACAGTGGTACTGGCATTAAGGCAGACTTTTTAGACCAATGGAATAGAATAAAGAGGCCAGAAACAAACCCTACTTATAGAGTTAAATGATTTTTGAGAAGGGAACCAAGACAATTCAATGTGGAAAGGATAGTCTTCCACAGATGGTGTTGGGAAATTTGGATATCCGCATATAAAGAATGAACTTAGACCCATACCCTAAACCATATACTAAAATTAACTTTAAAAGAAT